CGATACGAAGATATAAATGCCTCTGCGTCAGATTTGGCCTTAGCAAGTTCGGCAGCAGATCTAGGTTCAAGTTCCTCGATTTTGCGACTCCGAGCCAGGCTCTCCTCCTTCACACTTAGAAGTTGGCGTTCGATTGAAGCCAGCTTCTCCCGAAGAGTATCTTTCTCCGAGGCGAGACTGTCCATGCCTTGCCTCCACCCTAGGGTCTCGGCCTCCTTCATCTTGAGCTCCTCTCGGAGCTGCTCCACCAGCTCGCCCTTTTGTTGAACATGAAAAGTTGAAATGTTAGCCGGTCAATCGGGCAAATACATAGCAAAGCCTCAAAGGGTATATTACCTTTTCGACAAGCTCGGTCCGTTCTTGACGAGCCTCCGCCAGTTCAGCTCGAAGGTCACTGATCTCTCCCTCCTTTTTGACATAGAGGATCTTAAGGCCATCCCTCTCTTCCGAGAGCTTCTTGAGCTCGGCCTCGCATCGAGCAAGCTCGGCTCGGGACTTGGAGAATGCTTCTCGATGAAGCGTCACAGCCTTCACAAAAAAGGAAAGGTTAGACTCTGAGCAACAAGGATATAGCGCAGGCGTAATTTTAAAGGACAGAAACTTACTTGTGCGAAGAGCCGATGGGCCTCGTCAAGAATAAAAGAAGCATCTGGATCTGGACCATCTTCGATCCCTGCAAGGCACTCTCGAAAGATATCGTGCCCTTCTTGGCTCGTCCCCACATCAGGAGTTCTCATGTTCCGAGCATCCCGGAATTGCCCCTCGGAGAACTCAGGACTAGGCGGCGACTCATCCACATTAATTACCCCAAGTGATCTACTCGGGGCATTCTCCTCTCTTTGAAGGGTCTCGGGACCGGGACCCTCGGTTTCACCCTCCAAATGACCTTCAAGACGAGGTGCTCTTTTGCTGCCCGATGGGTGGACTTTGTTCGAACTCCCCTCGGAGATTTCTTCAGTCCTGGAATGAACCGCATCAGCCATCATCGGTTCGGCAGACTTTGAAGCGTCAGTGCTTCCTCTTTTTCGAACTACCAATAGGCAGTCGTTGTCCTCCCTCTCTTCCTCCTCGTCCCTAAGGCGTTGGGCCGTTCCTGCAGATAGGGCCACAGTATCGGCCTTAGGCTTTCGAGCCTTGCTTTTCTTCGGCTTCGAAGAATTTGTAGGAGACCCCCTCTTCCTTTTCTTTTCTTTGGAAGATTTTGGGATTTCTTCTTCGTCGGGCGGGGGCGGCTGCATAGCAATGGCGTCTCCGAGGCCTGCATAAAGATAAAGTAAGTATTTCTCTAAGAAGCACAAATAAGCAAACAAGAGGACTCACCATGGTTTTTAGCTTCCTATCGACCTTTGGCCAAGTCACGTCAGCTGTGCTCCGCGTACGAAGAAGTAGAGACCAGCTTTCGGACCCAACCTTCGAGGTCTGGGACCGCACCAGGAAACCAAGCAACAGCTACACCATCGAAAAGGGGTTAGACCGAGAAAAAAAGATGAAGTCAAGAAAGAAAGGGAAAAAACAGGTCATAAAGTCATTATCGACAAACGTGTACTTACATTTCATATTCCATTCTTCGGGGAATGGCATCCTCTAAGTAGGTATCAGATCGAAAGTCCTGACTCGGACAAACCGGCTCATCCACCCTCGATCTTTGTCTTCATCGATGCTAGAGAAGAGAGATTTCGTGGATCGGCGTTGCAGATTTATTAGACCACCTCGATAGAGACGAGGACTGTATAGCCTGATCAGATGATCGAGGGTAAAAGGCATTCCCTCGACCTGTTTCGAGAAGAATCTGATCAGGTTGACGATGCGCCAGAATGAAGGATATATCTGGCCAAGCGTCACTTGGTATTGTTGGCAAAAATCAAGAATAAGTGGATCAATTGGACCCAGAGCTGGATCGGCAGGGCCCAGCGTGAATGGGTAGGTGTACACGCTTAGGTACCCTGCTTTGTGAGTAGTGATGCCCTCTTCAGGGGAAGGGATCACTACATCTTTGTTCTCCCAGTTGCAGTCCTTTTTCACCTGCTGGAGCTCATCTTTGGTTATCAAACAAATGTATCGATACATGGGCTCACATCGGCCTGGTGTCGATACGGGTTTCTCAATTTTGAAATCGGAGGTTGTTTCACACAACGGGGGAATACACTCCTCGATACGAGGTGGCACCACCGTTTTACTTCTGGACGGTCGGGATGATGAAGAGGCTTTTTCTTTTTGGGAAACGAACTTAGATGTTTTAGCCATTATGGTATAGAAATTCAAAGAGAAAGGGTTGACGGTGAAGTAAGGGCAAATTAAAGAGAAGGATGAACTTAGAGAATTTGAAGGAGCTAATGAGATTTTCAAAACGATTAGAGAAATAAAGTTTGCAAAAAAAATTGTGAAGTTGGCCTATTTATAGAAGTCACTTAAGCGTATTGGGGAAGCCAAATAGCCGTCCATCAGCCGCCTCCAATTAATGACTTTGGGAACTGCACGAAAGCGACCTTTCAGTCACTTCAGCCGCTGACATCACGAGATTGACATTGGGACCGAGGCGTCGAAACATCGAAGATCAAATCGTTTCTTATCGACCTACTCTAAGAAATGCGGGGACTATCTGTATATGGTCAAGATCGTATGCCTTCGATCTATAGGCTTGAGGGGTCGCCCCAAGCCCGAGTTCAGGCAAGGTCGAGTTCGAGCCCGATGGATCAGACTCGAGCTCAAAGATAGGATGCAAGGCCTGAGGATAGGAGTACGAGGAATACCGAAGCTCGACCTCGAAATAATGTCGTTATGGATTTTTAACAGAATGAGCGAGATTCCTGCCACGTCCCCAAGATCATGGTGCAAATCCCGGGATAGAATTGTACGATTCCGTACTAGGCGGTTAGACAGATGTACCAATAATATTCCTTACTGTAAATAGAAATGTACCTTATTTAGGGTTTTCCTATTATATAAAGGGGACCCCAATCAGAATCCAAAACCTAAATGGCAAGTTTTTGGACTCAAAACACGTTTCTACAGTTTTGAAAAAAAAAGTTACTTTTCTACCTAAAATGCGGTATTATACTGCGTTTTACTTTAATGGAATTTTAGCTGTTAAAGTAATACTGCGTTTTACATCATGTGAGCTTAGTTCCAAAGCAATGGAAAACGCAGTCCATCCCAAAGAAATGAGATCTGGGGAAGCACACATTTTAGTTTTTCTTTTATTTTAGAGTAATTCTTTCACATATTTCTTTTACATTCCAAATTTTAGTTTTTCTTTTATTTATGTGTTCCATTTTGGAGAAATTTTCATATGCTTAAATAGCAGACTGACGTGGCGATTCAAACTACTGATATTACTGTTCCAATTGTTATTTCTTAATTATTAAATAGTTATATTGGGGGAAAAGATAGCTGTTTGGAAACTTGGAATGATGAAGAAAAGAATAGGGCGTTTGGACATAAGAATAGTAATTCGAAAAAAAGTGAAATTTTTTGTCAAGTGAAAATGGTATTTGAAAATCAGAGTTGTGTTTAGATATGAATACAATTTTGGGTTGTTTTTTGAATTTTTGTGAGTGATTTGAGTGAAAATTTTGAAAAACGGTTTTTTGTAGTTTTTCAAATTTTCGAAAAATTTCAAGATTCATCTTCAAGTGAAAATTTAAAAATTTTATGGCCAAATACTGATTTCGAAAAAAAAGTGAAAATTTTTCGAGAAAAAGTAAAAAACATTTCACGGCCAAACGGGCTCTTAGAGCTGCATATTATCAGTGATAAAACCCAAATAAATAGTAGTAGTATCATTTTATTTCAGAAAAATAATGATGAATCCGGAATACCTCAGTTATACAAGAATACTAGAGTAGGTTATAAACTAATTGGTTGCATGTTCGAATCCGACTTGAAAAGATTTGTAGTAGTTGCCTAGTGATACATATTTCTATCTTTCTTATTTAAAGATCGTGAGAAATTATATTTTTATCATTTCTGAAAATATTAATTTTTATATGCGAATTTAGCATGAGTTTGTCTTCAAAAATAATAGTACTTATTACATACTTAGAAAGTACAAAAAAGTAATATAAACCACAAAACAATTTGTGACTAAACAAACAGTAGTAATGCACTACGCCACATTTATGCCAAAACTTTTTAGTTATAATAATCTCCTGTCAATTTTCAAAGTTGAATGATAACAGGACCCTATACTTTGCAGTATATTTTAACAATTTACAGAAAGAACATTACCACTGAAATCACCCAAGAATTATATCACACAGACAACTAAAGAAGGAAGAAGTATTCTGTGGGATGTGTGCTTCCCCAGATCTCATTTCTTTGGGATGGAAAATGCTGCGTTTTCCCACAATACAAGATGCACGTTTCCCACGGCAAAATATTTCCGTTTCTTTGGGACTAAGCACACATGATGTAAAACGCAGTATTATACTGTGTTTTATTTTAACGGCTAAAATTCCGTTAAAGTAAAATGCAGTATAATACCGCGTTTTAGGTAGAAAAGTAACTTTTTTTTTTCAAAACTGTAGAAACGTGTTTTGAGTCCAAAAACTTGCCATTTAGGTGTCGGACTCACCTCAATCATTTTTAACATCATCTAATCATTGGCAAAGAATATACTATCCTACTTTTCTCGCTTATTGTTCATCAGAGCTGTCCTTTTACTTTATTATTCTTGGTCCATCTCGAGGTCACTGAGTTCGAGGTCAATTGCTTAAGTAACACTGCTTTGATTCATCCATCTCTTTCATCTACACTCTATATTTCTTGATTATTAATTGGCATTGAATTATATCACATATCTTTAAAACCATAAATCAAATTTAATTGTTACTCGTATTTTCGAGGTAAACAATCTTAATTTGCGTTTACATGATATCCAATAATCTCTAATTCAAGCAGTTGGCCAGTAAAATAGCATCACTTTTATTTAGATCTTCTTTGTTCAAACGACTAGTAGTAACCTTGGTACTCTGATTTCTACTTTATTACTCTAATACAGATATTATATATGCAGATAAAAGTTTATTATTTATGAGATACAAATTTTATTATAATTGACACAAATTAACACGTACAACGCATCTGTTCAGCGACCAGGTTCATGAGATATAAGAAAACTCATGCAAAATTTATATATACCTATTCTCAAAAGCTGACTTAATCTTAAAATAAAATGGCGATTTCGTTGATCTGAGCTTGGTTTAGACTCCAAGCACTCAAACTGGAGATTTCAACATCTTTGGATCCATTGTTGAAAACAAATATATGGGCATTATCGTTGATGGCCAAAGTAGGATAAGCTCTGGTTGTAATGCAAGCTTTTCCCCCTCCACCAAAGCTTTCTACTATGGAATGATCAATCTGTTAAATAAAAAAAAAGCATATAATTAGTCTAGCTATTTCGAGCTTTGAATATGTTACATGTGTTTTGCATTATTAAAAATTTAGGAGATTTGTATTTTGATAGTAAACTTACCAAAGTCCTCAATGACAAGTTTTCCGTAACAGGATCAACATCCAAAAAGGCTCCATATTTGCTTGTGTCGTACTCAAGACCCTCAGCCGACCTGCATTTGATAAATTCATAATGAAAGTCAGGTGGGCGACTATGTAAGTTAAATGTAGACAAACACTTCCAAACTTGTCATATTCCATCAAGTAGTATTGACTAGTGAAACTAGGAAAGTTTATTTGGAAGCTAAATTTTCAAAAGCATGTTAATAAACTGTATTTGTAAACTATTTCTGAAAAAGATAGAATAATATATAAATAGAAAATGTAAACCAAACAAAAGTTAATCCGAGCTCACTGAATTCACAGTATTTCCTTAAGGAATTTAATCCCCTCCTAGTACTCAAGGTTATGGATTATTTTCTCCCAGGATAGAACGAATTACACACTGGTGTAGTGGTACTTCAAACCCCAGTGTTTCAGCGAACACAAAGTTCGATAGCAAATCACACTTACTGTTGCTTTCTTTGAAGTTAAAAGTATGCAGAAGAAAGGAGGAGAACTCAGAAAATCGTATGGAAAATCTGAGAGAATGGACTTGTATTTAACCAATGTTGGGCTGAAAACTGAAGAGGTGCAACTCTTCAGAATGGTTCTTTATGCAAAACGGTCATAGCATAAATGCCATAACATAAATGGCTAATTTATGCAATTTTCAGTTACACAACCGAAAAATTGAAAACGGATAACGGAAAAACATTTAATATTCCGTTGGATTTAATATTAATATTAATATTAATATTCTGTTATTAAAACGGATACTTAATATCATTTCTGTTAATATTTACTATTAACAAATAAATTTGGTCCAAAAATTAATCTATCAATCATTTGACCGAATCCGAAGCCGAGCGAGCGACGACGGCGCGAGGCTTGCCTTCTTCTCTACTCTTTAAGAGCTAGAAGAAGAGCAATTGCTTATATACCCATCAAAAACCTCTTCCTCTTCCAATATGGGACAAGAACTTAAAATTTTTATTTTCCATCATTTCCCATTCACCCTCTTTTAAGCCATATTAATGCTTAAAAACCCAACAAAGCGTTTATACGTTGCAAATAGGGGTGGCAAACGGGCCGGGTTAGATATGAGCGGGTCAAAACAGATAAATTATCCGACCCAACCCAAATATGATACGGATTGAAAACTGGCGGATCATGTGAATATCCATATTATCCATGACTTCTTGAATATAATCATTTTTGGGAGAATTTCTAGTCTCTCAAACTTGAGGAACCCCCAATTTGAGTCTTTACAATGTAAAAGTTAAACTCATTAGTTATCCATTGGTTATCCATTTTCTAAGTGGATAATATGGTTCTTATCCATATTTGACCCGTTTTTAAAAAGTTCATTATCCAACCCATTTTTATAGTGAGTAATACGAGTGGATAACTATTTTTTTTTTAATCTATTTTGCCACCACCAGCTGCAAATAAGCCTAAAGACTAGTGATTTTTGCATGCAGCAGATTATGTACCCTATCCTAAAAGGGAGAAAATTAAAGGAGGAGTTGAGGAGATACCTTCTCTGATCACAGCCCATTAGCACAACAAACTTGTCATTCTTTTTGAAAATTCTAAAGAACACTGCAGTATATTCTTCAATGTTATTTGAGGCCAATACTAGCAATCCAAAAGGTCCTACACCAGTACTGTTTGCTGATGAAGCTTTTTGGCGGCATAGCTCTTGTGAATTACTCCAACTTGAGTCCAGCACCTCTGCTTGCTCAAGCGTTGCGATTGGGATTGAGAAGGAGATTTCTACATCCGCCTGAAACAATAATAAGTCGATGAATAGAACTTGTTTGACTCAAAAGATGTTAAACCTTTTTTTAAGCAAATCAATCAAAGAGGTGAATGGGTAAATTGTAGTTGAAGATAATAATCCCCAGGATCGTTTCAATAATCGGAACAATAATAGCAATAAAGGAAAGAGATAGAGAGAGAGAAGGAGAGAGTGATATCGAGATCAAAATTAGGGAGAGAATCAGTTTTTCTATTACAAGTTGTCTGCCTATTACAAGGTTCGGATCCCCTTTATATAATGGGGGGATTCGAGCTCAGTCCTAACATTGCCTTCCTAAACTCGGGTGCACATTTATGTGACCCAAATCCAAATCTCAACGAAGTCGAAATGTGTCGACAACCACGGGTGCATTTATGTGACGTGGTTCGAGACACGTTTTCACGACGTTGCAATTCTCGTTAAAATAATAATGAAAGCGGTTTACAGTTAAAAAGCACATAAGCTAAAACATGTTTTGAAATCAGATAAATCCAAATATAACAGTTGAGCGACCGTGCTATAACCACGGTACCCGGGAATGCCTAACACCTTCTCCCGGGTTAACAGAATTCCTTACTCAGATTTCTGGTTCGCGGACTGTTAACAGAGTCATAATTTCCTCGGTTCGGGATTCAACCGGTGACTTGGGACACCATTAATCTCCCAAGTGGCGACTCTGAATTTTAATAATAAATCCCGTTCCGATTGTCCTTTAAGTGGAAAAACTCCTTTATACCCTTACGGGTGTAGCGAAAAAGGAGGTGTGACACATGCAACACTATGGCCCTCAAGTTTCTACAGGTAAACTTCCGATTTTGCTTTGTTGGTTAGAAGACCTTGCCTAACCGCGATTTTGTGGTAATAGGTCGAGGAGCTTCTAGGAAGAAGGTGACAGCCCCTGCTTTCGTGCGCCCTATTACCACCGCGGACGCTCAAGATATTCTATGCGAGTCTGTTCGCGAGGGTCATTCTCTTATACCCTGTCCGGGAGCTACGTCCGCGGCTGTGGCCATAGAGGAGCCGACTTTGTTGACACCGGCTCCACAACCCGCCGACGAATCTCCTCATGGTGAGGAGCCGCCGGAAAGGAAAAGGAGAAGACTAGAGCTGGGGAAGGGGGTGGCTGTTGAAGCTGATGACAGTGGAACATCTCGGGTGGCCTCGGCGCCCGTGTTTATGGC